AAAACCCTAAATGTATAAGAAAACACTATAAGAAATCCTGTTGCTTTGTAAGCTACTTAAAAAAATATTAAAATAAAAATCATGCTCTCAAGAGAACAGACAATTGAGAAATATGCTGTTAAAACTTGCATTTAAGGAAAGATTTATAAGTCACAGAGATGTATGCTTGTCTAGAAATAATGCCCTCCCCTTAGTGAAAGTGTGGAAGATAAAACACCTTTATTCTGGTGGGATATAGAGAGGCCACAGAAAAGACTTCCCATGGCATAGTAATCTCTGTTACAGTGTAAGTCTGTGTTGCACAGAGTTAACCCATGCTGCTGGGTCAGCAGGCATAACAGCTAATAAAATTTTACAGTTTGTTGTAATTGCAGTGAAAAGAACTCAGCTTTCCTGACACTCATTAAAGACCTCATATTTATTAATTAAGTCACTCAGATAATATTTGTTAAGGGCTTGCCGTTTGCCTGGACTTGTGTAAAATGTAGGGGACACAGTTGACTCTCTTATGGACCCAGCTTGCAAGAACCCTCCAGGGTGTAGCAGAGGAGGTAAACCATACAAAGGACCTACACACCTGAAGTTGCCAAGCCTCATCTCTGCAACTCAGAGAGCCACATGCAAAGGAAAAGGTGCTCTCATTTCTTTTTCTCAAGTTCTTTTCAAGGAAAGGTCGTGTGGTTGGTCTTTCTGTTTGCATTTGTTGCTCAGAAGTCATCTACTTTTTCAGAAAGTCTATATGCTGTTTCTCTTTCATTACTCCACAGCTTCCAATTCTCTATGGTGTGGCTGCAAGATGGTTTTTCTTGTCTTAGGTTTCAAAGCCTCTTTTGAACACCAAGCAGCCACTATTTGGATCTGGTTTTGTAGTTCAACTTTATATTTTACTTTTTCAATTTTATCAATGTCTTGAAACTTGGATTCAGGAAATTCTAGAAACTTGATCCCACTTGTGGTGTGCAAGTCCTTCTGTCTATGTGTTGCTTTTATTGGTTAATGAATAAAGAAGCTACTTTCAGTCAATGGCTTAACAGAATATAGCCAGGCTGGAAAAGATAGATAGAGAGAGTAGGCAAAGTAAGAAGAAGCCATGTAGCCACTGCAGAAAACAGACGTGCCTGAACCTTGCAGGTAAGCCACAGCCATGTTGAGATACACAGATTAATAGAAATGGGTTAGTTTAGGATATAAGAGCTAGCTAATAAGAAGCTTGAGGTAGTAGGCCAAGCAGTGATTTAATTAATAGTTTCTGTGTGATTATTTCGTGGTCTGGGCAGCTGGGAAATGAACACGCAGCCTTGGCCTACACACTTGATGATATATTTTGTCAACAGTCATTCTTATGGATTCAATACCTGCGTGCCACGTAGTGAACAAAGCAAGGGAGCAATGAGCTCCCAACCAAGATCATTACTGAAAGTGGGAGAGAAATAAAAAAAAATTTCATCTGACAAATTGTTGTAGTACTTTAGCAATCTGCCATAAAGTATGATAAAACTTGTTTAACTCTCCTACTTCATTTCTCCCGAGGACTATGGCTATATTTCCCCATGCTGCATGGAGAGCTTACGTGACCATTTCTAAGATGTGAACTGATAAGACTAAAATGTTTTCCACAAACACAGTGCGGTATCTAAAATCCCTGTCCTCAGATTGATAGGTAGCAGAATGATAGTTCCTTGTCTGGAATGACTGCCTTAATTGAGACAAACTCCTCGGGAACTTTGCTACATAAAAGAGAATTTGGTTAATGACTAGATTGTTGATGTTCTACAGGAATGTGCCTTAAGGTGCAGACCCAGAAGATGCATTTAGAATAACAGTCAGAAGTTTTGCTACACAGAACTTGAGAAGCAATCCCAAAATGAGCAGGGAACGTCATGGGCGCACAAGGGTGGGGCAAGTGTAACTGGAAACATGGAAAAATAGTATTTAGAAAGTCCTTTTCTGGACCAGTATGCTGAAGTGTCTTCTGTAGTTTTAAAATATTGTTCCAATCCCCCTTGTATTGAAAATAGGTTATTTTTTGTACTCTGTGTCCCAATTACAGTCCCCCCCCCCACTGCTCTCAGTTTCTCACTGCCTTATCTCACATCTGGATCTATTCCCTTTCCTTCTCTCATTAGAAAAGAACAGGCTTCTAAGAGATAGCAACAAAACATAACAACATAGCAAAATAAAATATAATATGAAAACAATCACATCATTATTGGATGAGGCAAGCCAAAAGGAGGAAAAGAGCCCCAAGAAAGGACACAAGAATCAGAGAGCCACTGATTCACATGCCCAGAGTCCCTTTAAAACACTAAACTGAAAGCCATATGTATATACAGAGGACCTGGGATAGACCTGTGCAGGCCTTATGCTTGCTGCTTCAGTTTCTGTGAGTTAATATTAGTTGTGCTCTGTTGAGTTAGAGGTCATTGTTCTCCTCATGTACTCCATCCCCTATGACTCTTTTTTTTTCTTGGTTTTTCGAGACAGGGTTTCTCTGTGGCTTTGGAGCCTGTCCTGGCACTAGCACTGTGGACCAGGCTGGTCTCGAACTCACAGAGATCCACCTGCCTCTGCCTCCCGAGTGCTGGGATTAAAGGCATGCGCCACCATCGCCCGGCTCCCTATGACTCTTATACTCTCTCTCTGCCTCTTTTTTCCACAAAGTTCCCTGAGCTATGAGGGGAAAGATTTGAAGGAGACATCTCATTTAGAGCTAAGTGTTCTGATCTCTGTCCCTCTGTATCTGTCTCTCTCTATACATAATTTCTGACTGTGAGTCTCTGTATTTGCTGCAAGATGAAGCATCTCCGATGATGGCTGAATAAGGCATTGATCTACGAGTATTGCATAATAACATTAGAAGGCATTTTGTCACTACTTTTTAAGAACAGTAGTATTTGGTTTTACCATAGATCTCTGGGCTATCTACTTTCTGGTTCTTGGTCACCCAAGCAGTGTCAGGTATGGGTTCCATCCCGCGGGGTAGTCCTTAAGTCAAATCAGACATTGGTTGGTTACTCCTACAAGCTTTGTGCCATCATTACCCTAGCATATTTTTGCAGGCAGGACAGCTTTTTAGATCAATGTTTTTGTGGCTAGTTTGGTTTGTACATTTCTCTTTTGGTAGCATACAGAGTACCTTCCCGTGTCAAAGACACAGGTGGAGGTTATATCTGTCTTATGCTGAGATTCCTGACACATCTGGAGTGGGATTTGTGCAAAGTGAGAGATAAAGATCTACTTTTACTCTTCTGCAAGTTGATCTCCAGTTTCCCTAGCACCATTGAAGACTGTGTTTTCAGTCTCACGTGTTTCTTCAGTATTTACCTTTGGCATCTTAGTTGTTTCTTGGGTGTAATATATCTGGATCCTCAATTCTTTCCACTAGATCTAAATGCCTGTGTGCGCCAGTACCATGACAGTTCTATCACCATGACTTTATAATACACCCTGCCGTCTGTCACAGCTCTTCTCTTGAGCAATAAACATTTGCTACTTGTCTTCACACATGTGGAGATGTCACTCCAGCACTGCACAGCAAACAGTTTCTTCTTTCCTTTTAGGCCCACACAGATTACTTCATTTCCTTTTTGTTACTGTTGCTGCCCTTCGGGGTTATATGCACAGCCTTTCCTGTTGCTTTCTTTGAGTCTCCATGTTTCTGCTGCATGTGTTTGTTGACCTTCCAGAGTTTACGAATCTTTTGGGTCCCAAGTTAACTTGCTTTGCTCCAGAGAGAATGGCTGCCGATTTCATTTGGAGTCAAAAGGGGAAGCAAGAACATCGTTATCCTGAGCTGTGTTTGGGGTTGACTCTAAGAGCCAAAAGGCAAAGGTCACTCACTACCTTCTTGGCAACAATGCACCTACTTGTTCAGGCCTTACATAGATACCCCAGGCTCCGCCCTCCTGAATTTCCTTAGCATAATTCAAGCCCATCAATGCAATAAAATATTTGTGTGAAGAATTATCCATTTTAAGATGGAAGTACCCTTTAGAGCCCATAGTCAATTATTTTTGTTTACATTTTCTAAATCTCAAAGTCAATGGAGTAAATTATTCAGGAAAAAAAACTTTCCAAATAAAACCCTGTGGAAAATACTGTGGTTCTTGGTATTACTAAAGGTAATGCTGAAATTGAAATTTACTTCTAGTGTTAGACTGAGTCCCCACACTGCACCAAAAGCTCCCGGAACACGCTCTTTCTGTTTTAACCATAACAGAGACTTCCCCCATCACTCCACTTCTAAAAGCAAAGGTCATAGTCACTTATATTTTGAAAGCCTTTCCTATTACAACACTCAAGATTTGATTTCCCTACTAAATCTTCTCTTTCTCTCTCTCCTTTTCTTTCCTTTTTTTTTTTTTTTTGGATGAAGCTAATATATCAGAGGGCTAATATGTCAATTCCTACTACCATTATAGAAGTTAGCATTTGGATTCTAAATATTCATTAAATAAAAGAATAAGTAATTTTTTTTCAACGTAGTAAAAAGGCAGCTTGCTTTATTCTTGGAATGTAGATTGGGAACAGGGGTTTCCTGTAGCCTCCCAACATGAGCTTCACCAAGACTGAGAAACCAAGCGAGTGGCACATTTGAAAGTTGCATCACTGGAAGAGGTTTTAGGTATCTCTCACTCAGCCCATCTTCCTTTCTCACTGGGTCCAGGCCTCCCAACTCCCACCAGATCTCTAGGCTAGGTGAGGTCTACCCTGTTGCCAATTGGGTTTGGCTTCTCAAACCCCTGAACATGTAAGCTTCTTGCTCAGGTTGCTAAAAGTGGCTCTGCTCCAGGTGGCATAGGCCAGGGGTCAACAAATTCTTTTTGGATACTGTGCCCACAATCCCTGTGATTTCACTCTCAGTCACATGGGTGCACCTCAAAAGCCAACTCAGATCCTTCCTGCCATTCCTCAGAGTAGAGACCACCAGGACAGCTGCTTCCTATTCTTCCCCATCCCCTTCCTTTCCCTCCCACCCAACCCTCCCATTTTTCCTCCCCCAACCTCCTTCCCAGCCAGCACTCGGTGGGGTCCACCTATGTCAGGCTGCCTGAAGGATCTGCCAACCCCTAGAGCAGATCCACAAAACAGAAAACAACTGTTGGCAAGCACAGAAAAGGAGAAAAAAACACAAAATTCAGGGTTGCCTTTGTCTACAAGGAACTGCGGCTTCCAGGGGTGGGAAGAGGCCATGCTCAGCAAGAAGCTGGACATTCTCTTGTGCTTAAGATAGTCCACCTCACTTCTCTCTGCACGGACTTCCCTGTCTCCAGCAACATATCAAGAGCACTGTGTATGTACGCAAACATGCAGTCACACACAGGTAGCCTTTATGGGTATGCCCTCTATGCTGGCTGTTGACATAGCCTCTTGGGGAGCAGGAAATAGGTGGAAGAGAAGTGTCCCTTCTAGGGGCTTTCTACTACCAAAGTCCTGTGCACACATACAAATACAGGCATGTGCATGAGCACAGCGTGCAAGCACACACATAGACACACACTAGATTCTAAGGGAGGGTGAGGGTCAGGCTCTCTAGGCCTGGACTGGGCTCTTGCTGGGGCAGCTCAGACAGTGGTGACAGAGAGCAGAGGGTTATAGATCCTTTTTCCATCAGCTGAGCGGGCACCGTGGGCCAACATCTCTTGGATGGTGATCCAGTTGTCCAGGATCTTCTTGTTTCTCTTCTTCATGGTCTTACGGTGGCTCAGGGCAATAATGTTGAGCTCAGGCTTGCTGTCGCCATTCTGCTGCTCCCTCAGACACTCCAGGCGGCTCTGCATCATGAACTCACGCCTCTTCCGCTGCTCCCGTGCTCGGATCAGGTGCTGCTTCCTCTCTTCCTTGCTCCAGTAGCGGCCCATCTTCATCTCACTCACTGCATCATCATCAGTGGTCATGCCGCTGCGCTCTTCCCGTATTTTCAGGGCCCTAGCCTTCAGCAGCCGATCTCGCACAGGCCGCTTGGCCACATAGCGGGTTCCATCACTTCGCACCTTCACCTTCCATTCCATGCGGGGTACTTCGACAGCTGCGGCCACCACCCCACCCACCCGAGGACCACTAGCCAAGCTCAAGGAGCCATGGCCCAGATCCTCCAGGGTACGTGGCGGGGTCAACTGCACACAGCTCTGGTAATGCTCGCTCTCCTGGCCACGATGACGCCTGGAGAGGTAAGGGCTGCCTTCGGGAACTACACGCTCCAGAGTAACACCTGTCTTGGTGCTGCGTCGGACAGGCTCCTCTGAGTGCTGTCTCCGGCCCACCTCAGGATCCCGAGAGAGTGATCGGAACTTGGCAGGGCTTCCTGGTGAAGAAGCCCCTTTGGGGTGGGCGGTGACAGGAGGGCCAGAAGGGGTCCGGTTCAAATTGGAATTGCCCGCAGCAGATCGCTTCAGGGGGATCTCAGGCAAAGGCTCCATGAGCAGCGGAGTGCTCCGGCAGCTCTCCCCAGTGTTGTAGGCGCTGGTGCTATCCTTGTCTGATTTCTCTGGCAGTTCAGAGATATCAGACAGCTCGTGCTTTTTGGGCTCACTGGCTGCCAGGTCATAGAGGCTCTCCTCCTCCTGCAGCCAAGCCTTCATACAGCGCTCCCGCAACTGCTGCATCTTCTGTGCCCGCAAAATGTTGCGGCACTTGAACGCTAGGTGCCGAAGCTCCTCCTCCAGCATGGCCATCTCATGGCCTAGGCTCTCATTTCGGTTGACATCTAGAGCACCGTTGCCACTGGAGGCCCGGGAGAAGAAGATGCCTAGCTGGTTGCCATTCTCCAGGTGGCACTTGATCTCCAGTAGTTCATACTCCTCATCAGTGAGCCCAGGCAGGTCAGCCCCACCCAGTCCTGCCCCCTCAGCCAGCAGAGAGTCCATGCTGAAGTGGAAGTCCCTGCTCTGCAGGGCATCCCCTTGCAGGCCAAACTTGGCGCAGGCTTCCAGGGGTGTTGGTAGTGCTGGGGGGGCTCATCCCCCAGCAGGTCATGTTCAGAGCTCTCTTTATTCCGGGTACTCTCATCAGTCCGGCCCACCCCGCTGTCCAGCTCCTGGCTGTTGCTCAAGCCTGGGCCCCCATCAGGAGCACCCTTCTCATCATTTCCAGTCTGCGGGGCAGGGGGTGACTTCAGCTTCCTAGCACGAAGGTCCCCTTCATTCTCAGACCCAAAGTCATCTAGGAAGTCATCTCTGTCACTGTCTTTCCACCGCTTCGCTAGCTGGCTCTCAGGCCGGGCCACCAGCAGGGAGATGTTGGTGTTCTCTTCCTGGCTCAGGATGGCTACTGCCTCCTCTCGGTTCTGGACATCCATTCCATTAATCTGAAGCATCACTTTATACTGCTCCTCCGGTTTCTGGACCACGCACATATTACATCCCATGGTGCTGGCTGGCGAGGGAAAGAAGAGGGCGGGAAGAGGAAGGCGTCTTTCACTGGCGGACGCTTGGGATCACGGGTCCCGGCCCCGGGCTCCGGGCCATACCCTCAAGAATAAGTAATTTGATGTTCTAAATGTAATGATTAAATAAGTCTACATGGAACCTTTCTAAGAATGATAGACATCACAGTAAAAGAAGGAATTAAAGGAGCAATAGGAAAAACTTAAAGGTTAATATTAACAGAACAAGCTGCCGGGTTCAAAGCAGCCCATATGTTTTAGGAGTTATGCCTACCTTCACCAAGTTTCTTCTGAGGGCAACCAGTCTTCCCAACTGGCCTCACAGCTCTGACTTCCAAGGCAGCAGCCATAGCTATACGGATTGGGGTGTGAGAGTTGAGTGTGGCTCCAGGGATTTCAGCTTGAGAGACAGAGTAACAATGGCATCTCATAAATAGCAGGAAAATAGAAAAGGCAGTGGGTTGAATGAGAAAGTTCCTGAAACCAGTGGTTCTACCTTTGTAGATGACCGCAAGGTTCCCCTGGGAACATGGGACATTCCAGTAATGTCCAGTAGCTAGCAATAAAGTATTCTCTGACTTGAAGATGTTGATGCTGTAGAAAAAATTTTGGAGAAATTACCATGTAGCTAGCAATGTAAGTTATAAGATCATATGAAATCACCAGCAGAGGATATAGAAATAGATTTAAAGGTAGAACCTTGGGAATCACTGGCGTTTCATAGCTGCTAAGGAGATGCAACCGGCACAAGCTACTGAAAAGAGGGAGTGGTAGTGGAACACTAACACAGCCAAGAAAGAGATTTCTCCTAGAAACTAGCAGATGCCATGGGCATCTTGCAACTATTTCACCACAATGGTAGGAGTTGCCTGTGTGAAAGGACCTGATGTTATAAAGGAAGGAGAAGGAAAGGTGTTGTCCATGCCCACTGGAGAATTCAGAGTATCTAACAGTCATGCATCTCTCAGACAGCTCCATTCCTCGCTATGACATTTGTTCAGATGACCCTGTTACCAAAGGTCATGTAACACAGAAGAACCTAAATCTATCTTTCAGGAATCCAACAATCCCTCCACTATTCCTGTCAGCAACTTCTAGACTATGACAGAGCATCAGTGGTTTCCAAAGAGTTAGCATAGTCCTTGTATATTACCCATTGGCACCATTGGTCTTTTGAAATTTGGTTTATAATGTTTTCCAAAGAATGGTAGTGTTGGCAAGCACATGAAAGGCACTATGAGTTTATCATCAATACCTTTGGCATCATTTGCTGGAGCCAGGATTCAGATGTTGTGCTGTGGTTCCGGTAGAGCTATAGATTCCAGACTTTGGGTATTTATCATGCATTCACTGCTTCACACCTTGTCTTCTCAGTTCTTCTAGGTCAGTAATTGGAGCTAAGATGGAAATAAAGCTTTCTCATTGTAAGTGCAGGTTTTAACCCCATACTTTCCACAGTGGTTTCTGTACCAGGTTGTCTCACATTTTCATTACTGCTGCTGTTGAATATTTAATAAATGCATTAAAACAAATCATGATGTGTTTGACTTACATGTAAAATAAGTAAAACTGCTAGGTGAATTCTAATGGTATTTAATATCCTTAAAATGAAACCATGCTAGCTTTCCACTTGCCAATCCAGCACACACTCGTGTATGCTATACGTGTGTGATACAGTGTTTTCCTCAGGAATCAACTTTAGGAAAATGCGTCCCTTTAGGTATTCCCTTTGCTCCTTTGCATCAAAACAAGTGGGTGTCAGAAGAAGGAAAATCATCAAAGAAAACTGTCACCCACAACTCAAACATGGCCTCCCTAGGAACCATCATAGGTAAAAATTTTAGGTACATTTTAAACCAAGAGAACTTAGTTGTGGGAGGTGAATGACTGACGTCCAGGCAAGAACGGGGATGTTGTTCATTCTTAAGGCAGTGACAGTAGAACCTTCCATGCTTAGACTTCATATAACTCCACCAGCAACGATGTCTTTAGATAAGAGCTAATTTAGACAATGTTGTTATTTGATATGAGACTTGGTAGCATTTATAACAGATAATCTCTTTTCCTGTTGTACTATCAGAATTTATATGGCAACAGAGGTCTTATGAAAAGCATTTTGAGATGTATTAGACTCTATACCGTTTAAACAACAGAATAATTCTGTACTCATTAATATAGAGACCAGCTACATATGTGAAATGCATTTAAGAAACAAATATGCAGAAACAACAGATCTTTCTAGGCATAAGCTTGGCAATCTTCACACCAGCTTGTGGAACAGGTATGAAAATAAAGATATCTCATCAATTCTGAGATTCATACATTGTATATACAGAGCTTGGTAAGAAAACTATAAAAAGATCAGTATTAACAGGATTTTGTGTATCTGTCATTCCTGTCTTGCCAAAAAAAAATTCTATGGAGCAGTTTGTAATTGCCATTGTTTGGATTATTACGAAAAAAGAGGTTTATGTGATTTGCCTGAGAGCCGCACATCACTGTTCTCTGCAGAATTAAAATTGCATGCACATATCTGCACTTATCAGTTTTATTTATCTGTCAGGGATTGATAAAAAGCAATATGCTTCAGTGTGTAAAAGCTTTTAACAAGAAGGTTGGAATTATAACCACAACTTTAATAGTCTAGTGCAAATAAATAAGTACCTTTATCTTCCTATTGTCTATCATCTATCTAAATCTAAAATATATTCATATTTACTACTGGAGTTATTTTTCTGTTGTGGAGGAACATACTGGTTTCTCTCCCAAATGGCCTTGATCATATCTTTTCAAACCTTTCAATGATATTTTGTGGATTCTGTAAGGTATGGGTGTAAAGGAGGTAGCATATTTTCTTTACCAAGTATGTTGAACTCAGAACGTGCTTCTGCAATGGGATGAGACACTTCACTGTGTTTATAAATAAGAAGTATAAGTAGATGATCCGAAATAATTTTATTTTCTCCAATGTAAATATTTTTCTTAATATTTCCACTAAGACCGCCACCTTTATACTCACGAAGTTCACAAGCTCCCTGAAGGACTTTGGATGAACGTTGAAGGTTGCTGGTACCAGAGCTGTGTTGATTCGTGCATACAAGTGTGTCCTTTAGAAAATGTGTACCCCTAGCAAGCGCCACTCACTATCACTGCAAAATCACTGCTCACATTTCTACCCTGGTGCCCTTTTAATAGCCTTGGAACTCATTGGAACACTTTAGAGCCAAAGCAAAATTAAAAGAAAAATACAAAAATGTCCATGGACCCCTTTCCTGGGTATCTGTGAACAATGTTGCATTATCAGAACCCCAGAGTCGATCAGCACACTGGTTAAAGTCGATGGGTGATTCCTCCTTTTAATAATCAGACAAAGACCATAGTTACATCAGCGCTTCTGAGACAGCGGGCCACAACCCCACCTGGGGTATCAAACCAGATGTAGTATCTGAAAAACCTGAATGAACAGCGATAACTATTAATTCTGATCGGAAGCACCAGGGGCCTGTGATGTTTCTGCAGCCTCCGTTCTGAAAACAACACATGTCCTTTGCATTATGAATTGCATCATGCTGCATAGTGCCCGCAGGCCTGCATGAAACATCTGAGCCTGGATCCAGGATTGCTATATGTTATGAACTGCAGCATTTCTGCTGTATATACAAAGGCCCCTGAACTTACAACACATAATTATAACATAATGGTCTAATTAGGGAAGACAAATATTTTTAATATATTCTGTCACTCTTCAGCATAAATAGCATCAAATTTTAATAATATATCTTTTAGTAATATTGTTAGAAAAAGAAGTACTTCTCATTAATTGCAAATTTACCTGTGTTGTTAATAAGTGCTAAAGATTACATATACAATATAATATCATATATGAACACATACACCTAATATGTAATATATAAGCCTAAATAAATATATACATACATGTGTACACACACACACACATATAAGCACTTTTTAACTCTTTAGTGTATGGATGTTCTGTGGTCTTTTTAGCTATCACCTTGTTCTTACAAACTTACTTTTCCACAAAAATGTATAATTTTGAAGAACACATTTCCTATATAGTCATCTTGATCAACTATATTTTCATTAAACCAGTGATTGACAAATAATTACTCAGTAAAACGTAGATCAAAGGCTGACCTTGACCCTTGCCCTCCAGTTAGAATGAACCCTGCCATGTAGGGTCTTCTGTTTTCTTTTTCTCTGTTTGTTTAGTTTTGTTCTGTTATGTACTGGCTTGTCTTTGTTTTTGGGAAATGCGATCACAGTTCATTCTTCAAATAAGTCACATATGGTATTTGTATTTTAATTGAAAAGTCTCTTGTTATGTCTGATTCTTGAAAGCAGAAGTTCATTAAAAGGACACTTCTTATTTCCTCAAAATGTCCCTTCTTTTTTCCCCCAGTATTCTTAAATCGCAAAAGCCAGTTGAGTTATGTGCTTTGGAGAGTTAATTTTTGGCACCATATGTCTCTAAAAAGCATTCAATTTTATATAAAGCATGGTTTCAATGATATTTATATTCCATATTCCACAGACAATTGAAGACTTTATTTATTTATTAAAGATTTCTGTCTCTTCCCCACCGCCGCCTCCCCTTTCCCTCCCCCTCCCCCAAACAAGTCCCCCCCCCCCCCCACCCCAAAGAGCAATCAGGGTTCCCTGCCCTGTGGGAAGTCCAAGGACCACCCACCTCCATCCAGGTCTAGTAAGGTGAGCATCGTGCACCCACACACTGAGACAATGGGGATGTTCTATTGGGAACTCACCAAGGCCAGCTGGCCTGGGTCTGAAAAAGCCTGGGATAAAACCGGTCTTGCTGAACATAGCGGACAATGAGGACTACTGAGAATTCAAGACATTTTTAAATAAAAACATCTTAGCCATTTACCATCGCAACCTGATAACATACAATTTACTCGCAAGATTACAAAGGCTTATGTTTATGAAGATGAATTTGATAT